AATTACGTTTTACCCTACGAAATAAGATCGTAGATGGAGGGGGAGGCTAAAGGGATGGGGATGGACAAAGAAACTCAAGAGACAGACAGTTTTGCTTGTGTTGCTGGTGAGCCCGAATTTGGTCGCTGTCGAAGCCAGAGCACTAGTCATGTGCTGCAACTCATCCGCGCTGTGTGAAAACACCAAGTTACAAACAAACGCGGGCAACCAAACTTATCCAACAAGAGCCACAACGCCTTGCGGTTCACCGCATCAAATGCCTTGGTGAAATCAACAAAAAGCGAGTACAATGGCTGGTGTCGTTCGCTGCATTTCTCCTGCAACTGACGAGCCGTGCTGCGACCCGAGCGGAATCCACACTGCTCTTCCGCCACTTTAGGTTCCACAACCTGACTGACGAGGCGGTTGAGCAGCATTTGGGAAACCACTTGGCCCACACCATTCAGCAAGTTGATGCCACACGTTGCACCAAGTGGTGCAGCGTAGTCAACAACGCGGGTCCGTCGTGTTTCCATACCTCAGGCGGGATCCCGTCGGCTCCGGCACATTTGCGTTTCGCAGCTAAGCAAGTGCTTCCTGCGTCTCATCCAGTGTCGGTGTGGCCGCCAGACTCGACTTCACATCGTGCTTCTTCAGGTCGTTCAGCTAGGCCAGTTGATATCTGAACAGTTGTTCAAGAGACAGTCAAATGCTTTTGCCAGATCTGTATTATGTCTGCAGTCTGTGTGCAGGTAGCGCCTGAGCTACTAGCAATCAGCATCCTCAGCGGTTCTAACCTCGGTCCATACACCGCCTTCAAGGAGTCAAGGAATTCCTTGTGTTGGCGACGTTCAGTTTAGTAGTATATCTACTTCACCTTTTCCGTCCACCATGCATTTTTTATGCGACGAACTCTCCGGTCAGTATCCGTCGATGTTTGCGAAACTGACTCTTCTTCCCCCAGTCACTGGAGTCTGCGACATGTACAGCAAATGCTGCATTCTCCTCACACACCAATGCGCTAATCGTCGCATTGTTCTCATCAAACCACGCAGGCAGCTTACAGTTTACGCGCCCGATGGTCTCCTTGGCAGCAGCTATCATCTGGTTGCGGATATGTTGCCACAGGTCGTCCATTGTTGCTATGCATTCCACATCACACAGTCCTGCAGCTATGGCCTCCAGCTCAATACGTTTCGCCACAGTACCGAGTTAGGGAATGATAAAGTTCCGCCGGTTCACGGCAGGAGTGTAATACATAAAGTTACGACAATTTATGTACAGTTTGGTCCACACCAATTTGTGATCAGTGCCGCACTCAGCTCGGCGCAGTACACGTGTCATGTGCACTTCGCGTATCTCACGCTGACGTAAGATGACCTAGTCGTGCAGGTGAGTCTGACCACTTCGTGAGTGCGTCCAAGTTGTTATATCACTCGCACTCATTGCAAACGGGGTGTTCGTGACCATCAGGCCGTGCGTGGCACGGTGAGAGCAACCTGTAACCGTTCGCATTCGCTGAATCACTGTCATGCGGACCGATGCCATCTGTCCACACCGATGCATCACGCCCAAATCCGAGCGTCGGAATTGCACAGCAGAACTAGTTAGTCGCTCCTCGGCACAGACCGTATCATGGAGGATAGCTGAGTATGGAATTGATCACGCGTGTCGTAGGCGAATAGTTATCAGTCGCGCGCTGATGTCTGTTGGTTAACCCACCAGCTGGCCAGTTAGGCGATCGGATATAGCAAATTTGACATCATATTCATCTTGGGTTGCGGCGTCGTTGTTCATCCAATAAAATGTTTAGCCAGCACCGGCTTCATGCAACTTACCTTGCCCAGCGAGTTGAGTCTGATTAAGCGCCACAATATCGAGGTGGTAGTGCGCCAGTTCCATCACGACTAGTGCAGTACCTCATTCGGGGCGTTCGTTCGAGTTCCGGTCCAGTAGTGTGCGCACGTTTTAGCACCCGATGCCGAATAGTTGAGCGCAGGCATACAATTGCACTGATGGGCAATCGCACGCGAGATGGCGGTTGTGCTTCGGTGGTTTGCTTGAGGGATTACAGCCGGAGCCTTTAGCTCAATAGCCAGACCTACAAGGTAGTGGGGAGAAGATCCAGCTCAGAAATGTAATTGCAGAGACAGAGTGGTATCTGCTTGTCGGCCGTCACACGCAGCCTTTGAGGTAATGGAACCATCCATATATGTTTTGCGACTCTAGTAGGATACGCAGCTGCGAGCAGGGCAGGACGCAGATGGGTTTGGCGGGTATCTACCAATTTGACCAGGAGCTGTCTGGCTTGAGACGGGCAGCAGCAAACCACTGAATATCCGAAGGTGCCCTCCCACCGTCACAGACAATGCGTGGTGGTCGCGCTCTACGCCATCCAAGCTGGAAGCTTATAATGCGTAAACCTGTCGTCACCCATGGCTAGGTTTTACGAGAACAGAGCTATCGACCACTTCCTAGCCTCCGAGGAGGATGGACTAAGATACCTGCAGCGAGCCCACACCTGACAGGAGAACGATTTGGGTCTTCAGCCAAAGTCTTCGATTAAATGTACACCTGAAAGGCAGCAGGTCTAGCATATGGTCAGTTCTTTAAGCCATGCCGACTGGTGTCCTGGATCTTAGCAGGGAGAAGGGCGAAACCCAACTCCCACCCAGTGGTCGCCACGAGGAGGCTTCCAGGAGATAAGCCCATGGCACAACGGTAGCAACAGTGGGTAGACCATCTGGCAGGATCTAGCCTCCACCAGCCTCAGCTCTACCGACTCACAGGAAATTCGTTGGCAGCATCCAGTTTTGGATTTGTTTGTCACTGTGGCCGGCCGCAGGACGCCCGCGCCTACAGAGGGACCATAAGTGGATTGCGCTGCACCAACCACAGCTCCATCCACACATCCCATATCCAGTGTAAACCCGAAGGAATGAGACATAGAGGCATGCGGATGGGAACCACGTTCCATCAGCGGAGCCGGCACACACTCCTTTACAGGCAAACACAAGCACGCTGTATTTGGGAATCAAGTGCACACAAGGCGGTGGCTGAACCGTAGTCCGCTCCACACTGAGTGCATGGAACCACTCTACGTGCCTAGCACGGCCACAAGAACTGTGCGCGCAATCCCCTTCCACAACGAACAACTGTCTTCTGGAGCAAATATGTACGTGGTAGTGAATAATAGACAGGTGGGCAAATTGTCAATCTGCACACCCAGCGCAGCCACACTGGGATATCAACCAAGAGCCATTAAATTTAAAGGACATTAGCAAATAAAAATATCTGTTAAAGCTTATGGCTTTTCCTGTATATGTATATATATGTATATATACGCCAAAAGCGAGGTAACCTTAACGAAGGTACCTCAATTATCATAAGCAACGTAAGGTAGTAGAAGATATTTTAGGTAGACAGAACATACCAACTTAATTGAAATGAAAGTTACCCAGCATAAAGGAGCTAGTTTTAGTGTAAGTTGATTTAGCCCACCTGCGGGGTAGAAGCATCACGAATGCAGCATCAGCCCCAGAGTGGGGCACTCAAATGAAATTACTATCGCAAATACACTCATGGGATTATTTTGCTATAACCGATTACCATTTATGATACACTCCGCGCCGGCGATCTTTCAGAGAATTATAGACAACTTACTGAATGGCATACCCCAATTTTGCGCTTCCTTGCAGAATATTTTGCTTACTGATCCTAACACGTACAAACACATGACGGCACTTGCAACAGCCTTGAAACGCCTTCAGGAGAGCTGTTTGTAACTCAAGGAATCTAAATGTGTCTTAGTTTGTGATACAGTTTAGTAGCTGGGATTGCGTTTGGATAAACTTGTTACATCCCCTACGGGAAAAAATTAACCCATTCTGGATTATCCAACATCCCGAAATATTAACGAACTGCAATCAATTCTTGAAATGGTAACCAATTACATTCGTTGCTAACCCAACTTGGTTAGTCTTCTCGAACCACTGTATACTTTACTTTATAAGAATACCTGGTGGCTGTGGTCCAATAAACAACAAAAATCTTAGGATTCTGTCAGATTAGCTATCAGTAACGGTAACTTCTTAGTTTATTTTGACCCAAAATAGCCCCCCAGTTTTCAATGCGATGCGTCACCTACAGTGCCCGAGGCCGTGCTGTCATCCCAAATGGAAGACATGACCGAGCCAGCAATAGCTTTATGTTCAGTAGTTTGGCATCAGCGGAAAAGAGCCATGCGCAGCTCGACAGGGAAGATTTAGCGGTTATCATTGTAGTTAAGAAATTTCACCCGAGAGTTTTAAACCGTCACTGAGCACTTATCCTTTGTCAAACTGGATTGTTGTGAAAAAAGGCATAAACCAGATGGCGTCAACTCAGATGCAGCGGCGGGCTTAATTGCTCTCCGCTTACAATTACAAAATCGCCTATGTCCCTGGGAAAGCAAATAGAATCGGGGAGACTCTGAGCCGTTTACTGTTGAATCACCTACCAAACTGAGTACTTAAACTTGTGGAGCTTGTTCATCTGCTGCAGCATTTGGACGCAAATCCAATGTCAAATGCAGATATCCGTCCAGAAACTGAAGGGGAAACATTGTTGTCCAAAGTCAAGCGACTAGTCTCTCAGTGTTGGCCTGAAGGTTGTGAACCTCAACAACTGCCCTACTTTATCCGACGCACAGAGCTCAGTCTCGAGGATGGGTGTTTACTATGGAGATCTAAAGCGATCATACTATCAGGGTGGCAGCAGAATGTATTACAAGAACTTCATGAAATGCACCCCGGAATTACGAGAGTGAAGGCATTTGCGCGATCTTATGTGTGGTGGCCTAAAATGGACAGAGATATCGAAGTGTTGATCTGACATAGCGACGTATGTCAAAGCATTCAAAGGAATACCCCTGCTTACCAATTAGTCCTTGGAAATGGCCCAGCAAACCTTGGGAATGCATATACGCAGACTTCTTTGGCTCGTTGGATGGAAAAATCTTTACCCTTTTGATGTTTGCTTACTTGAAGTGGATAAAAGCTTTTCCTCTTGAACATGCCGCCTCTCGGACGACCGTTTTTGCATGCGTACATGTTTCAGTAACTTCAGTATACCACATACGCGGGTAACAGACAAAGGTAACAGACAAACGGCCGTGGAAGCAAATGGGCAGGGATCACGTGACGCAAATCGAAATCGCCACCCTCAAAAGTCACCTGCCCGTGGATAACGGACTGACAATCCATTAAGCAGCATTATACACTGCCTGTTACTGCACTGAAGATGCCACCTCGCATGGTGGTGAAATGTATGCGATCTCTTAACCAAGCTAGGAAAAACGATCAACAGGTGAGCAACCAAACCGGGCTACCAGTGTTCCAAATTATTTCGAACATGGTTGGATAGTCTATTTCCTAACCAGAGGCTATGTGGCGAGACTAGGCAAGAAAAATCTAAGGCAGAGTACCAGCTGAAGGCTTCCGAGCGAAGACTCTGTGAGGATGAAGCGATCTACGTCAAGTGGTCCAGCCAATCGACTTGGCAGTTTGGTGAGTTGCTCGAAATTGCGGGACAAGATACGTAGGTGGCTTTTTTTAATAGCAGTGTAGTTACTCGGCGCAAGAATCATGTCCGTCGTCGTTCCGTTTCAACTCCGCCAGCTGGAGCCTCCTCTAAACAGCAAACTAAGTTGATAAACGCGCAAAACTCTCAAACCTCTGGCCAACCGGAAACTCAGCAATGTCGCCGTTCGACTCAGCTACGCCGACCCATCGGCTGATAACCATTAGGCTTGAGTGGTCCAAACTGAAGGGTGAAGGAACATGGTATCCTCACGTCCAGTGTACTGAGCCCTATCCATTCATTACATGCATCCACTGGCATGTGTCAGTAACCCGCTCACCTTTTTATCGATTGACCTAGTTTAGAATAGTGGATCAAGACACCGCACTACATGTCCGTTAGAATACAGTTTTGCCTTCCATGTGCCTGACGTGTTTTGCTTCATGATACTTCGGCTAAGAGCCAGTCGCTGTGCCTTAGTTCAGCAATTTCTAAACGGTGACACCCAGTTTCATCACTGCTTTCCAATACTGCTACTGCCGGCATTGATAACGCAGTATTCAACGCGACTACGCTGGCCGAGCGGCGCAAGTTGTTTAGAGACTGTGCTGGTCGCATGTTCTATTGGGCGGGATCACCACCACTTCATCACTTGAACAGCGACGGATTTGCAATCTCATATAATCGGAATGGTTACCTAATAGAACAACCGAATGGAATCAACCCAAGGATTATGGCACTTCGTCTGTGCCTCGGAATGAATAGATCTGCATTTTCTTAGCAGGTATGACCACTACCTGAATTATATCGATGAAGCGATAGACCAGCATTACTCATAGAGATACTTAGCAGTACGATAATCTGTGCCAATTACCGACCGGCTTTCCCACTGAGTTAGTATCATTTTCTGTCTCGACTGTGCCTTGCGGTCGCATAGTATTTCGTTGTTTCTTTCAAGAGAAGTAACCCACTCCGTATTTGGTCAGCACATACAGTATGCTCTCATTTCGACCAAATTAATTTGCCTCATTCATTGAGCTCATTCGCAATTAATTTTTCCTTACGCATCATGAGTCCAGCCGTCCTAACTATTGTATAGCTCTGAGGCTCAGTCATACGCAAACAGCGAATTCGCATTTGGATTATTTGTAGCTGATAATGCATTCCACAGGTCATTCTCAAGGTTGTTAAGTAAGTTCGGTGTTTCAGGTATACAGCATTGTTCGCGAATTATATGGGGCAATTCATGATCCAATATTAGCTTATTACTCCACCAATCGAGCTCAACCGGCTACAGCCACAAACCTTCCGAAGGCAGAAGCAAACGCCGAATTACCATCCGACAAATCTCACTTTGTTTTATAATACGCCAGAGATACTGGCCATCCGATTTGAACAATGCACTATAATAATGATGCAACTCACAATTCGAAGATATCTGTACATATGCATGCATACACAAATAAATTCATAAGTGTTGGGTGTCCCGACGTGGCCTTGTATTGCGTAACTCGCGTAGGCAAGTTGCCTGTGCCTTGTCAAATGTTTATAAATAGGGGAACTGAGCATGTACCATAGGTTATTCTTTCAAACGAAATTAAAATTATTAAGCTTTCAATAGTATAGCAAGTGGCCCATAGACAACAGATATCCCTTTGTGGAAGAAAGTATGGAATGGTGCTGTCGCTATAAGTAGCGTTTACTATATGTGGTGCAGAGTCGCATCAAGTATATCAGTAATGTGTGTGCGGATGACACAGTTGTTGTTGATTATGACGCAATTGTGATGCAAACACCACGTAGCAGACTGACGCGTGACGCTGCACGCTTTGGTATGTGCTCTGCAGCTTCAAATTACAAAGTACTGTTACAGAAGTGAACCGATACGCCCCCGATTCAAGCTAGTACGAGCAATTAATGGATGTGGCAGATCGGTTCACCCACCTTGGAAGTTGTGTCACCTCTGCTGTTCATTTCACTGAGTAGGTTACTTCGCGCATCAGAAAGGCTCATGTGTCTTCCGGAGACTCATCACTCTATGAAGACAGCGAGATATTAACCGATCAGTGAAAAGTATGGCGCATAACACTGCGATCACCTTGGTGTTGCTATGTTGATGAGTGACCTGGTCAGTTCGCAGTTAAAACAATAAACGTTTGGCGTCATTTGATCACAAGTGTTTTAAGGACACCAGGTTGTCAACGCTGAGGTCCACCAGTCGGTTTATAGCAAGACGTTTTCTGGCGCCCTACATGAGTTTTTTCTGAATCTGAGTGGCTTACGTTAGCTAAACCATGTTCTCTGTATGCTCGTCGACCGGCCTCCCGGAAGTCTGATTTACGCAATGGTTTCACCAAGTTTGGCGAAGCTGCGAGGTGGCCACTGGAGGATGAGGCATAAAAGCATGCGAAAATTGGCTGGGGTACTTAGTCAGTCTGGTAGGTTCTGTCTTCGTGGGATGGAGTTACGGGATAATCTACATCAGGGTTTAGAGACTCTATCAGACATGGCGAAGCTGCGCAGTCAACAGTGTCGCTTGTGCACTCGGTTTCGTGCACATAGCCATTGATTTCATTCCATTATGATTAGTTTAACTTCAATTTTTCCCATCCTACTGTTAATGTACCACGTTTGCTTTAACCTCGTTCTCTTATCGTTGTTTATCGTTTATTTGGCTATCTGAATTATCGCAATTTAATCAACACACATCAGTGCCCGAATCATACTCGCGCGATTGGACTGAACTGAACCCATAATATGATATGTCAAGCACTCTAGGACAGCAGAGCTATCTGTTCCGAATACTTCTCGGTAGAATCCAGATTGAACTTTCAAGAGTACCATCGACTGCTTAGCTTTGCCAAGTAAGCGAGTATCTCAGCAACTGCAAGACTAAGCTGAAACATACAAATCTGCAAACTCGGTCCATCCAAGCTTCTTGGTCATTTTAGCCTCTTATTCTGTTAGATGGTCTCCCACTTAAGTGCTTCACGGTAAACTGGGATTGCCTGTTACATTAGACTGATTTAACATACAATTTATGCATAGACGGTAAGTGAACGCTATCAACCTGAGGTTTTCCCACACGCTTGTTTTGTATACATGATTTGGTGATTGAGGTTATATAATTACTCTGTGTCCAGTGCGCAACAGGCGTGAATGCAAGCGTGCGTGGCCATTAGCACTAATACCTGGTTGCAATGTAAACCCTTTGTTTTATGGTTATTTCATCGGTATCATGTCAGTCGGCTATGAAATTATCCATAAAGGCTCTGGACAATGTAAATTGAAACTCGAGACCTTCATAGGTAACCTAACTTTTGTTTCCTATCCAGATAGCTTTATAACGGCGATCGGTAATAGAATAAGAGCAGTTCGCTCTTCCGCATCTTTTTATTTGTAGACCTGAGTCGAACAGCCCCAAAGTGTAAAACACTTCTGTCCTACGAGACGTAATGCATAGTTTGCATTAAAAATGCCATGCAATTTGTCGTAAACCTTAATGGTAGTTTGCTCTTTGGCAGATTTCTACTTCAAGCTCTTAACCAACTGCTGTGGATCTTTCATCAAGCATCAAGCGTCCATCCGTACTATCGTGCCAATACGTCTCCTGAGTCTCGAACGTTTTCTTTCTATAGTTACCTTATTTGTTTAAGTGCATTTACAAAAGAGACTGAAAAAGCTATTGTGTCAAGAGGGAAACCTTGCCGTAATGAAAACCTAAAAAATACCGATTTTTATACTGTACCATCTAAAGTGATGAAATATCTGCTTCTGGTAATCAAATATTCTGGTATCAGCGAAGTGAACCAGTTGGTTTATGAAAAATTTGGAAAGCAAATAAAAGTAATTAAAACAGCTTCATGCAACCTCATCAAACGCAAATGGAATACTATATTTAGGTTCCTTGTAGTTTTGTATATCACTAGTCGTATTAAATAATTTTACCCTCTTTCTACGATTGAAATTTACGCACTGATGTTATTATCCGCATTAGTTTTCGATGGAGTTATGATCGGTTTGTTACGAATTCATGATTTTTGGCTCTGCTCCTATTGGTGGGTCTCGTGAGAAATTGGAAAGAGCTTATTATTATTATTACTATTATTATCGCAATATCTTCTGGTTTTGTCAACATGATCCTGTTTCTCTCCATTATGCTGTGTTCATTTTCAACGGTTTGATTCATGCGGACCACAACGGATAAGCTACACTATTCTCTCAACGAGTTTGCTCTGATTCTCTACATCATGGACTTCCATTTCCATCAATGCGCGCATGCATGGCCAGTAAAACAACCGTCTGAAAGTTCCGAGGTCTAATCGCCAGTGAACTTACGCTCCGATTAGCTGACGTTTCAATGATCACTTAGTGAAACTGAGCGCTTCTGTCTCGCATTGCTGTCACTTAATTCGGCTGGTAAAAAAGCTATGGTGACGATCGACCATGCATCGCCATCACGGTAACGGAATATTAACACCACTTTCGGTGAATCTGGATTGCATCAATTGAGAGTCAAGAAGGTTACTGTCCTTCGGTTGCGATTCAACAACTGCATTTCGAACAAAAAGCGCACACGA